TACATAAAGGCAAAAAAAAAAAAAAAACTTACCTTTTACTTTCTCGAACGTCTTTATGATGAGTTTAAAATACTCAACTGGTGATAGACCATTTGGCAACCCATGCTCTCTATACTTTCAACTTCACTCGGTTCACCACCTTGGAACCTAGAGGTAAAAGCCGAAACTTTAAGTGGTTAAATAATATTATACATTCTACAAAGTTAATAAAAGAACCCATATAGTATACTCAAAGTGTGACCCGACCATTCTCAACTTTTCGAGATGAAATCCATAAGAAACATTCCTGACAACACTATCCATCAAGAGAAGGCGATCTTATAGTCTCACAAGAGAAGCGCAGAAAAATACACAAACCCAACATATATGATCATGCATGCAGAAAAATAACCTAAAAAAACCAATTAAAAATCAATGTTCAGGACAATATAGGAACCTTAAAACAACATAACCAACCCATCTACAGACACTAACGACCAACACCTTCAAGTTCTTTATTCAACAATCAACATAAGAAACATTCCATCAAGCAGCAGTAATGATCAAGCAAAGAGACGTTAAAAAGGAAAAGAATGAACAAAAACAGACTACTCTAACGGCAGCCCTCAAAATCATCTTACAATACCACAAGAAAAGCAAACAGAATATAATTTATTTCCCTTAAATATTAAAAAAGAAACCTGCCTTTTCTTCATGTAGGGCATGGCCTCCCTAAGTTGCGCAAGATTGATCTCCTTGGAGAGATTCACCATCAATTCATGGACATTAAGATCAAAAGGGAGAACATGTTTTATGTCGTCTTCGGCATACCTCCTAATATAATGAGCCACGAACTTGGACTCTCCGCAAAACTTCCAATCCTTATTACTACGGAATTCCAACCAGTCATATGACGTAGACCATGTAACAATAAGAACAAGGTGCGGATCTTTTAGATCCCTTTTCTGCATATGACAAAAAATATTAAAAAAGAAATAAGAACTAAATAATATTAAGCACAACATAGAAACCTGAAGGAACAGAGTACCTGAAGAGATCTTTGCGAGCTTAAGCTTTCTCTCTCCAGCGAGAGT